TGGTAGGTACTAAGTAATAAAGGTTAAGTTGTTCTGAAAATGATTTTACATTTCTGTTTCAGCTATGAGTTAGTATCTGCTTCTAAAATTAAGAATGATTCTAACGCAGAACATCATTAATTAGTTTTCCAATGGCCCATTTGCTCAGGGATTCCATGCCTCTTGAACAAATTGCTCAGTTGTTCACAGAAAATTATATTTTGTTAGGTAGACTCAGGGAGGTGTCTGATTAATTCCTAAAATAGTGTGCTAGAGGAAGACTCTGGGCTATTAGCTCACAGATTTTTTTTAAATGAATTTAGTTATATATTAGAATACTAATTTTTTTAATTGTGGTATAATATTTTGGTTGTTCTGTTTATTTTCTTTGCCATAAGTTTTTCCAACTTTCCATAAATTAGAAACTAGAAATAAGGGAAGAGGCATAATCATCCCAAATAACTTTCTGTGGTTGTATTCAACAACCAGCTACCAACTGAAATATGAAGCTGGGTCGGGCACAGTGGCTCACGCCTGTAATCCCAGCACTTTGGGAGGCCGAGGCAAGCAGATTGCTTGTGCTCACTCAGGAGTTCGACCCCAGCCTGGCAAACATGATGAAACCCGTCTCTACAAAAAATACAAAAATTAGGGGTCGTGGCGGTGCACACCTATAGTCTAAACTACTCAGGAGACTGAGGTGGATCACTTAAGCCTGGGAGATCGAGGCTGCAGTGAGCTGAGATCACACCACTGCACTCAGCCTGGGTGACAGAGCTAGACCCTGTCTCAAAAAAAAATAAAAATGCTTATGTTTTTAAAATATAAAGATATTTAAAAATTTTAAAAAGAAAATAAGAAATATGAGGCTGAAAAGCACACATGTGCCCAACATAAGGGGTTGGGTTCCCCCGCCTTATCAAATTGCCCAGCAGCTGCCCAAGAAAAAAAGAATTGTTAATGACAGAATGAAAAGCAATAATTGCAGCCAATCTGAATAAGCCGAATATAAAAACCCATGAAGATGTAAGAATAAGCGGGAAATTAACCAGAGGCTTGTGAGCATAAGGACATAAAAGGTAGTTAACAACATACAATAGTGATTAAAAGAGTCAGGGAAAGGCAGATGAGGAACAAATCAAGTTACGGAAGGTCTAGGCTAAATTTTTGGCCAATAACCAAGTTATCAGTACAAACTGCTGTTGCCCCGTAGGTTGCAGAAGTGTCCAAAACCCTTGGCTCCTGGCTGAGAATCTGGACAGAATGTCTCCCTTATGAAGAATTTGGTTGTGCAAATGTTTAGTTTCTGCAATCAGGGATGGGTAAAGTATAGTGTATAAAAAGCCCATTTCAGGCCGGGCACAGTGGCTCACACTTGTAATCCCAGCACTTTGGGAGGCCGAGGCAGTTGGATTACTTCAGGTCAGGAGTTCGAGACCAGCCTGTCTACCATAGTGAAACCCCATCTCTACTAAAAAATATAAAAAGTTAGCCAGGTGTGGTGGCAGGCGCCTGTAATCCCAGCTACTCAGGGGGCTGAGGCAGGAGAATCGCTTGAACATAGGAGGCAGAGGTTGCAGTGACCCAAGGTCGCAACCACTGCACTCTAGCCTGGGCAATAGAGCGAAAAAAAAAAAAAAAAAAAAAAAAAAAAAAAAGCCCATTTCAGGCCTACATTCATACACACACACACAGTTTCATCACTCCAGATCTTTGCTAATGCCAATTGTTTCTTCTTCCTGGAAGCGTCTTCCCTTCTTCCTCTGCCATTTAAATTCAGATTTATATTGATGACCCCCAAGAACTACTCTTCCTTCTATACTCCGTTGTCTACTCCTAACTGGGGGTGGGGAAGCAGCAGGAGATGTCCACAAATAGCAGAGGCCTCTTGGCGAACAGGTCATGGGTACGCTATGAACAAGCTCTGCTAGCCTCCACATTCTACAGGGGATGAGTTCTCCCCCAGCCTCCTTCTCCTCAGCTTCTCTCCAGGGGGTGCCTATGACTGAGTGACCTCTGACACTCAGTGCCTCCAGGGTAAGCAAGTTCCCTTCAGAAGAGCAGCTGGCACAGCCATTATTGAGTCTGTCTCTGCCTCTACCGCCTCACGCCACTTCAGTCTCCTGAGATGAGCTCATAAGCCCAGCAAGACCGTGAGCTCATCTTGAGATGAGGATATAAATGGACAGAAGACTCCACTCACAGCAGGGCTTTCACAGCTGCTATCCAGCATGGTCAGCCAAGAGAAGGCACGGAGTCTTACTGAGTGTCTCTTACGGACAGCATGCTTCACAGATAATGTCTGTCTTCTTAAAGCCTATCAGCTAACGCCTACTAGCAATACACGCACAGCCGAATTTAGGGTTATTAACTTGTTGCAGCAAAAGAGCACATATGCAAGAGGAATCGTGGAACATGAAAAGGTGAAAGTTAGGAAAGCGTACTTACTAAGACTGGGGAGCTGGAGTTAAAGGTTCTTGGCAGGGATTGGTCAGAATCTGGAAACTAGGAAGTTGCTGGAACTGTCAGTAATTTTATCTACAGAACGCCAAAGTCATGAGATGTACATCCATGTTCATAGCCACACTATTCCTAATAGCCAAAAGGCAGAACCAATCCAAGTGTCCATTGACAGATGAATGGATAAGTAACATGTGATGTATACATACTATGGAATATTATTCAGCCTTAAAAAGGCATGCATGCTACACATGGATGAATCTTGAAGACATTATGCTAAGCGAAATAAACCAGACACAAAAAAGACAAATTCTGTATTATTCTACTTACGTGAGGTACCTAGAGTAGCCAAACTCATAGAGACAGAAAGTAGAATGGTGATTGCCAGGGGCTTGGAGGAGGGGAGAATGGGGAGTTATGTTTAATGGGTACAGAGTTTTGTTTTGGTAAGATGAAAAGTTTTCTGTGGATGGATAGCGGTGGCAGTTGAGTAACAATGTGAATGGACTCAGTGCCACTGAACCGTATACTTAAAAATGGTTAAAATGGTAAATTTCATGTTATGTATATTTTACTACAATTTTTTTTTAAAAGTCACGTGGAATGACTGTTAGATCAGTTTGTCTGATGTCCTCTAAAAAACACGGGTCTGCATGTGCTGGTTAGTGTTTGAGTTTAGATACTTTCTCCTGTATGCTGTGGCTTGGCTCGGTTTAACTGTTTTGCAAGTCACAGAGCAGATTTGCAATATGTGATTTGTGTTTTAATTCTCAGTTCCCCCATCTCAGACTAGCTGTCAGCAGAGCTGTTTTTCACTTTCTCAATCTCATTTAGTTGTTTGCTTGTTTGTTTATTCGTCTTAACAACTGAAAGCAGTACTAGATTCGAGATTCCAACCCAAAGCTGCCAGAATTCTCACCGTGGACTTTTCTATCATACGGGTCCTCTAAAGGTTAAAATGGCTCATTGAAATATGCACAATCTGTCTGTTCCTAACACATAACAGATTTAAATCCGTATCAACTATGCCAGGAACCCTAAAATACTCAGATAAATATGGCATTGCCTGATTTCCAGGACCTCACAGACTGAAGGGCACAACATAAATAGTTATATTTAGATATAAATAGTTATATCTTACACATAGTTATGTGTAAGAAATATAATAAATCTAGAAGGCAAATGATCATATGCCCATGTTAAATATCTACATAATTGTGATACTACTCACTTACATTTGGTTAGAATCCTTTCACAAAGAAGAGAATCTCCTTTTTCTAGAGATGAGATTCAAAATTAAAATGGAACACTACTAGAAAATTTAACACATTCACTTAGATTTCTCTGAAGCATAAACGATGGTGTTAAAAGAGTAGATTTAGATAAAGCAGAGAAAGAAAGCAGAGTAATTCCTAACAGATGCATCATAATTTAAAGCAGGAATCGGCAAATTTTTTCTGTAAAGGGCCAGAAAGTAAATATTTAAGGCCTTACAGGCCATATGCGGCCAAAGACAATATGTAAACAAATGAGTATGGCTGAATTCCAATAAAACTTTATTTATGAAACTGAAATTTGAATTTAATGTAATTTTCACAGGTCATAAAATATTCTTCTTTTTTCCAAACATTTAAAAATGTAAAAGCCATTTTTATCTCTCAGGCTGTAGAAACACGAGCAGCAGGCTGAATTTGGCCTGCAGCTATAATTTGCCAACTCCTGCTTTCAAGCCTGACTTCTCCAAGTGTAACCCATAGTCTGGCAGCATCAGCAACACCCAGGAGCTTGTCAGAAATACAGAACCTCATGCCCAATCCCAGATCTGCTGAAGGAGAACCTACATTTTCAACAACCATCATGTGTGTGTTTACGCAGTTTAAGGTCCACTCAGGTTGATACATGACTGTGGTCAATCCCTGTGCTTCCCAAGGAAGTGACCTTACCTTGGGAATGTTCTGAACCTCTCTGTGCCTCAGTTTCCCCATGTACAAGATAAAGATGATAGCATTTCCTCCCTTAAGCATGGCTGTGAGAATTCGCACGCACGTACACACACACGCACACACATGGCTTAAAACAATGTTTGTCATTACCATAACAAAATCTTCTGTTATTTTCACAGCCACCCTCTGAAACAGGCAATGTTGACCTAATTTGACAGAAGAAACTGTAGTCCAAAAAATACAGAAATTCACCTAGGATCACAATTTAGTCCTGAGAATAATGATCAAAGGGACAAAAGGGGGACAAATGCCCCAGGCTCCCAGGTCTTCAAGCCCATGTCCCCCTCTCGGGGAACACTCTCCATAACCTCTCAGCTCATGCCCCTTAGATGATCCCTAAAAATACTTCTGCCACGCAAGGATCTCCCCAAATCTGTACCCCAAGTTACCCTTTCATTCCTTGAAATTTATTTTCCATTAAGTCGCATAGTGTTTTTTTTTACAACTTCTCTTTCTAGTTATAGATTGTAAATTTTTCCTTTGCTGAGTCTTGGAGCTGACCAACTGTTTTTTATTATATTTGTAGGGCTCAGGGGAAAAAAAAAAGGCAATTCCTTTATTTGAGAATCCTGACATTTATTAGCATAATAAAACTCTCAAGATGAAATTGCAGTTTTCCAGACAGTAATTTCATTTGCAGGACAACTTACAAGGGATTTATTTTAAAGCCAGGTAAAAAGGTAAAACCTAAAATATATGAGACATGCAGAAATTGCAGGCCCCAAATAAAATGAAATAAATGTGTTAGGGATGGAAAACCCAGCTGTTGTCTCTCACATATTAATTAGGGGTGACAGGAACAACAGCCCAGGGATTCAGGGCCTCAACCCATCTTGGTCTGCTTTCAAAGCTGCTGTTAGTTCTTGGAACAAAAGTTTCTTCCAACACCTTGAAAATCATCACATCATATCCCCCGACACATCATGGCTAAGGACTAAATTGTTGTTGTTATTGTGGTTGTTGTTAGAAATACCTTTTTCATTTGGACAGAGCTTTCATGTTTATCATTTAACTGACCTGCAAAAACACCTAGTGACGGCCACACAGAAAATTCTCTTTTCAGTCATACTGAGGTTTACTGAAGTTAAATGACTTGGACAAAGTCACATAGTTGGTAAATCATCAGAGAGCCAAAACTAAAACATCATTCCTCTGAGTCCATAGAAATAAGGCAATTTTAATGATAATTTTAATGATAATCAATTAAGGCACGTTAGAGTTCAGAAAGGAGGTTCCTTCCATCATTTCACTGTATGCATGTAGTGAGACAGGCAGACCTGGGAAAGCCACGGAGCTGAGTTGCAAAATTGATATTATTGAACACTTCTCTATGATGGGTTCTTATCCTGGATTCCCCAAAAGGTAGAGCCAGTGGCAAAAGCCTACAAGCTGCTACTTCATTCAGAAGTGCAATCCCAGAGCAACAGGAGAGAGCAGGGCAAGGCAGAGAAGAAGGAACAAACAGGAGCAGGGGGGGTGTCATACTGATCCAGCCACCACTTGGTTTCATCGTGACTGGTTGCCCGATCTTGCAGGACCGTCTTCTAAAAGACCATTCAAACAGATGCCTCTCAGAATAGTTCATCCAGGAGGAAGAACGGGGAAAAAGCGATCTACCAGCCTGTGACTCCCATTCATCCCAGATTCACCACATGGGGCATTCACTTCCCATCTCTTCTGTCTTATGCCTCTGCAGCAACGGGAGACGGGACATGTGGCAAGCTACCACTGGCTTATGCTCACATAACACTGATCAACATAGGGAGGCAGAGCAGAACCCATGCAAAACTGGTTACAGTGCTGGTGGCTTGTGGTAGAGAAGTGACCAAGAATCTAAGGAACAGGTGAGGCAAGAGAAGAAGAGGGGCATAGGAGATGTTTGATGCAGCCATCAAGTAAAGTAAATTGTTCCCTAACATCCCTAGAGTCCCTTCATTCTTTCCCTCTCACCAAACACAATGCTGCAAGCATTATAATGCTAGTAAGTTCCAGGGTGAGGATCTGAACCCAAGTTTTCTTGACTGTAAAGACTGTAATGTTCTCTTCATAATATACTACCTCTGTGTATATGGCTATAACTGTGGAACACAAGTATGCACCAATAGACACCATCACTGAGAGTTACTGAGGAGTTATTGGGTGAGTCTTCTTGTTAATATAAGGAACATACTGAGATTAAGTTGACAAGGGAATTAAAAGGACAATGAGGACAGAGCTAATCATTGGAGTAACCTGCATAAAGAGGGCCATATCCCAGAGAGCAGAGCCACATCAGATTTCTCAAAACCATTCTTGCATTTATAACTCACCCCAGGTCTTGAAGACATCTGTAGGATTACATAAAACCATTGCAAAACCAGGGCCAAGATATGATTCAAAGATAGAGGAGAGTGACAAAAGAAGAGGTCAAATAAGGAAGGCAGGACAGTGTCAATCAGCTGCCCTGGAAACTGGGGCTCGCCTTAGGTAATTCCAATGATAACATCAATAAGGGTAATAATGGAGATTATGAAAGAGGCAGCATTTATGTCCTCCATAGAAATCCTTCATAATCTTCCATTATCGCCATGATTTTATAGAGCAGCAAGTAGGAAATAATTTACGAGAAACCACTGCTAATTTGTGTTGGAAAACTTTTAGAAGATGTGCATTCGTTAACAAACATTTACTGAATGTCTACCATATGTTAAATTTAAGGTTCGGCACTGGAATTATTGTGGATTATTAAAACATGGTCCACACACTGTAAAAGCTCAGTTTCTGGAGGCCATAACAAACAGGCTTTGTCTTCTAAGGTCATATAGCTAAGCTCTTCATGGAAGAGTTGCATGAGCTATTAGCAATTTCTCTCCTGATCACTGGGATGAGACCAGTAGCCCTATGCCATAGATGTCATATCCCTTGAGACATATTAATCTACTTTTTCCTCTAGATAGTGGTGGATCTTCCAGAAGGCCATAGAATTTGAGTTGAGAAGTTCTTAAGCTCAGTTCAAAAACAGGATGCCCAAAGGAATCCAACTGATAAGGAAAAAAATATTATTCAAACAATAGATGGTAGTCTGGTGGGCTGTCCCTCTGTCCGCAGGGTTCCTGAAGTAACTCTCCTCCTGAAACAGTGATAATTTCCTCCTAAAAGAGAAAAAAAGGAAAATCCATTTATCATCAAGACAGGGAAATACACATCTATGAGAGAGAGTGAGAGGTTCAAGACAGAGAAACTAAGAATATGCATCTGTCTCCCCTCATTCAGATTGCTAGAAATGACATTAAAAAACTCTGCCTTTAAAAAGAAATGAATTCATAAAAAGTACTGGAAAATAAAAAGGAATGCCATTGACAAAGTGAAACATATTGAAGAATCCTTGAAAAACAAAAGACATGCAGGAGGGGCTTGTCAGAGGAGTCAATGTGGGACACCAGTTACAGCAAGTTGAGGAAGGGTTGACGGACTCCAGTAGGTGTTTGCCTCAAGCAGGTTGGGGAATGAGGAGATGCACACAGTTCCTTGGAAGCCCCAAGAGACCCAAAAAGTTCAGACAGTCCCATGCCCAAAAGATGAGCCACTCACAGTCAGCTCCAACTCCTACAGCATGAAGACACTGGATTTGGGAAACAAAACTATATTCACTCATGATGGACAGAAAATTCAAAGTTGGAATATCGCTTCACAGCCTAAAATTTATAGGCATTCAAGCAAAATTATAACCATAAAGGAAAGATGCTGAACTCAACAATAGAAATGATTTCCAGGAAAATATCAAGTCTATAAAGCAAACAGAAGAGGCTTTAAGAGATGTACATTAATCTCTCCTCAGCGGAATAAGAAATAAGTCATTCATGAAACGAGAATGGGCATTATTAAAAAAAAAAAAAAAGGAACCAATTAAAGAACCTGGAAACCAAAAGCATGACCATTTAAATTAAAAGGAAAAAATTTCAGAAGAACTGAATAGCAGAATGCTCATAACTAAAGAGCAATTCAGCAGCTGAAAGAAATGTCACATCAAAAAGAAAGAGACATCCTAATAGAAAAATGGACAAAGGATATGAAAGGACGACTCACAGAAGAAATCCAAGTGGCCATGAAATGTGTGAAAAGATCCTCAGCATCAGTGGTAATCAGACAAATGCAAACTAAACCACAGTAGATTCAGTGTCTGCCCATCTGATGGAGAAAAATGAAATGATTGATAGGCCCCAGTGTTGGCAGCAATGCAGGGAAACAGCCTCACATAGTTTTGGCAGGAGACTGAACTGGCGCCACATTTTTGGAGGGCAATCTGGCAGATCTTTCCTAATTAAAATGTGCATACTCTTCTTTCCAGCAATTCCAGTTCCAGGACCCATCCTTGAGAAATACTGCACATGTATCCATAGTGACACACACAGGGAAGTCTCTGCAGCACTGTTCAAGATCATGAAAAATTGGAAGCCAGATAAGAGTGGCCATCAAAAAGGAGAATGGGTAATTAAACTGTAATATGCATCCATACCATGGAATACCACACAGCATTTACAAGGTTTGGTATACGGATTAACACAGGAAGAGCTCATAGAAATATTTGAATGACAGTCAGCATGTGCTGAAATTACAAGTGTCAGATATATTGTTTCAGCACTTCACACAGTGATGTTTCATTAAAACCTTACAGTGACCTGAAGAGTTGAGTGCTACTATTAAACCCACTTTACTAAGATGGAAACTAAGGTGCAAAAGCTAAATAGTCGTCCAAAGTCAAACACATAAGTTAGAATTTAAAACTCAGCAGCCTCATTTTAGGGACCATGCATTTTAAAACTGCATTCAATTATTTAGTAAGCATGTTAAAAAATCAAGTCACTCATTTATATGTAAGGAAATATGCAACTTGGGCTGGGTGTGGTGGTGCATGCCTGTAGTTCCAGCTACTAGGGAAGCTGAGGTGGGAGGATCACTTGAGCCCAGGATCTTGGGGTTACAGTGAGCTATGATCGCACCACTGCACTCCAGCCTAAGCAATAGAGTAAGACCTTGTCTCAAAAAAGACTACACAACTTACATGAAAAATAACAAAACTATATATTTCCTTATGTACATAAGTTTTTATGTTACTGCTCAGGAGATATTTAGATAAGATATATGGCAAACTGATAAAGTGGAGGACGGAGATAGAGATTTGAAATAAATGAGGCTTTCGCTTTGTATTGTGCTTGATTTTTCTTAGAATGTAATCATGAATTAATTGTATAATTAAAATTTTAATTTGTAGATGTTGGCCACCAGATCTCCACACTGGCATAAATGATATCTCTCCTTAGTGTTAGAAATGAAATTGTGAGTCTCAAAGGTTTTGATTTGGAAGAGAATAAAGATCTTCAGACATCTCTGGTTTAGCCTTTCTCTGGAACCTGTCCTGAGTGAGGGGCGTTTATCCTTTGCTTGAAACACTTCCAGCAACAAGGAGCTCATCATTGCTAAAGCAGCTCCTATTATACAGGAAAAGCACACAATGTGGTTTAGTGGAAAAAGTACATTCTTTAGAGGCAAACAGTCTGAGGCTTAACTCCTGGTCCTAACCATGAAAACTTAGCCCTGGTTTCCTAATCTGTGGAATGGGGCTAAGATGCCTCCCTCAGGCATCTGCCACTGCTGAGGCTTGAGTAGGTAAACAAAGCGGATGGGAAAACTGGAACTGGGCAGAGCCCCCCACAGGTCAGCAAGGCCTGCTGCCTCTGTAGAGTCCACCTCTGCGGGCAGGGCATAGCTGAACAAAAGGCAGCAGAAACTTCTGCAGACTTAAACGTCCCTGTCTGACAGCTCTGAAGAGAGCAGTGGTTCTCCCAGCATGGTGTTTGAGCTCTGAGAATGGACAAACTGCCTCCTCAAGTGGATCCCTGAACCTCGTGTAGCCTAACTGGAAGACACCTCCCAGTGGCAGCCGACTGACACCTCATACAGGCAGGTGCCCCTCTGGGATGAAGCTTCCAGAGGAAGGATCATACAGCAATATTTACTGTTCTGCAATATTTGCTGTTCTGCAATATTTGCTGTTCTGCAGCCTCCGCTGGTGATAT